TTCTTGCAAATCTTTAAACAAACCATAAGCGGTCGTCAACAGTTTCAGAACAAGCTGCCAAACGGGCTTCCCGCGCGCATGTCGAAATCGTGCGAACGCCCTTGCGCGCACGCCGTCGCGAAAATCCTTTCTGCGATGAACGGGACGAAGTGCGCACGCGCGCGTCTTCGCGCGCGCATGCCGAAATCTGTAGAAAATCTTCGGCCTCGGAAGGATGCCGAAACCGAGTGTCCAAACAACATGTTACAACCAACACAGGGTTTCGCAACACGGATTTTCAACAAAAGCGTGCGCGCGCGTTTTTTTTGTCGTTTTTTTTCGAATTTTTAATAACACCGTATGATTCTCAATATTTTCATAAATTGCTACCAGACGAGCTTCGCGCGCGCATGTCGAAATCGTTCGAACGCCCTTGCGCGCGCGCTGGGGTGGCACGATCCGCGTCAACTACTACCATGCGACCCACTCCCGCGCGTCTGCCGCGCGCGCATGTCGAATTCCCTCACAAATCTTCATCACCGGCGCGAGGGCGCCGTCATCGTCGTCGGCGTGATCAGCATCGGCACCGTCACTGGCTGCCCCGCCGTCGCTGTCAGCATCGTCGCCAGTATCGGTACTACCATCATCGTGTCTACGGTTGTCGACATTGCCATGCTACCGCGCCCGCCCAAGCCGCCGACTCGCACTGAAGTGCCCGCTGGGATGTGCCGAGCGGTCAGCGCCACCGTGTTCGCGTTGGCTGCGTCCAAATAGCTGGTCGCTGCGCGCGCGAGCATACGCGGGCTAGAGCGGCCTCAGAGATGCACCAGACAACGCCCAACACTCATCGCAATCGCTTCCGCATGGGGTTTGCAAACCAAGTTGCGGGTGGGTGGGTGGGATGTTTGCGCGACCGGTGGAGTGGACAACTTCAAATTGGCCATTGGTGAATTCTCTTTTCCAAAAGAAGAATAGACCCTCCCCTTGGAATTAACGATCCACTTTTTCGTATCACAATTTACTTATGATTCTGCCCCATCGCCCAACCTAAATATGAACTCGTACTATCCCACCCAAGCCAGTATCACTCCCCCCCGCCATCTTTTGCAACAAATGCTATGCGCGCATTTTCGTTTCTAACACATCATAAATTGTCAAGCACCCCTTGCAAACAACGGGACGAAGTGCGCACGCGCGCGTCGTCGCGCGCGCATGCCGAAATCCTTCAAAAACCTTTGGATTCGGAAGGTTCTCCAAATCGAGATTCCCAAACACATTACGAAAACACATGATTTCGCAAAGCGGATGCCCTAAAATAGCTTACGCGTGCTCTTGCGAAATCTTAAGGAAACCATCGGTTCCTCAAGAGTATGGAGGAATGTTTCGAACGCCCTTGCGCGCGTGCCGTCGCGAGGGCCTTTTGCAAAACATGGGACGAAGTGCAGACGCGCGCGTCGTCGCGCGCGCATGTCAAAATCCTACGGAAAGAAACGCTTTGATTTCGGAAAGATTTCAAACTCGCGTGTCCCCAAAAACCTACAAAAACACATGGTTACGCAAAACGGGTTTTCAACAAAAGCGTGCGCGTGCGCTCTTGCGTCGTCGTCGTCGTCGTCGTCGCCGTCGCCGTGCTCCTTCCCTCCTCCCTCGTCGTTGTCGTCGTCGCCGTCGCCGTCCTTTGTCTTTCCTCGTCGTCGTCGTCGTCGTCGTTTCCGTCGTCGTTGTCGCCGTGGTCGTCCTCCCTCTTCCCTCGACGTCGTTGTCCGTCGTCGGCATCTCGTCGTCGTTCCTCCTTTTTCGTCGCCGTCGTCGCCGCCGTACGCGGTCTTCCCTCCTCCCTCGTCGTTGTCGTCGTCGGCGTCGCCGTCATCCCTCCTTTTTCGTCGTTCGCGTCGTCGCCTTCCTCCCTCCTCCCTCGTCGTTGTCGTCGTTGTCGTCGTTGTCGCCGTCGTCGTCCTAATTCCTCCCTCGTCGTCGTCGTTTTCGTTTGCGTCGTCGTCGTCTTCGTCGTCATCGTCGTCGGCATCGGCGTCGTCGTCGTTGTCGTCGTCGGCGTCGTCGTCATCGTCGCCAGCGGTGTGATCGTCGTGGACGTCGGCGTCGTCGTCGTCGCCGGTGTCGTCGTCATCGTCCTTGTCGTCGTCGTCGAAGCCGTTGGAGACGTCGTCGGTGTCGTCGTAGTCGGTGTCGGCGTCGTCGTCGTCGTTGTCGATGTCGTTGTCGGCGTCGGTGTCGCTGCCAAGTGCCAATTGGTACCCACCGTCACGGTCTTAAGATGTCTGCGGCCAAGTTGCGGGTGGGAGGGTGGGGTGATTGCACGAGCAGCGGAGAGAACAGCGTCAAGACAGTCAAAGTGCTCCTCACCACATGGATCCCTCACATATGTTGCATAGTGCGTAGCGCACCACGCCTCACATTTTTTGTGTGCTCAAAACAAGAGAATAGACTCTACCCCCCCCGAGATTATCGGTTCCCGCTTTTGTATTGCAGTGTACATGTGGTTCTGCCCTATCGCCCATATCCGATATGAAATCACGCCACCCCTGCCAACAATTATCCGCCTCCCCGCCATCCCCTGCAACAGGTACTTCGCGCGCGCACTCGTTTATCAAAGAACACAGTTTTCAAGAACCCCTGCCGCACAAATGACGAAGTGCGCACGCGCGCGTCGTCGCGCGTGTATGCCGAAATCCTTTGACATAAATCCGCGGTGTCGTAAGTGTTTCAGAATCGCTGTCCCAAACAATAGCACGCACTCCTGCGAATTACGCAGGGAACTTTTCGTAGCATGCGACCAAACAGGTTTCGCGCGCGCATGTCGAAATCGTTCGAACGCCTTTGCGCGCATGCTGGGGTGGCACGATCCGCCTCAAACAATACCTTGCGGGCCACTATCGCGCGTCTGCCGCGCGCGCATAGCGAATTCCTTCCAGAACCTTCATCACCGACGCGAAGACGCCGTCACCGTCGTCGGCGTGTCTACCGTTGTCGACGTTGCCATGGTACCGCGCCCGCCCAAGTCGCCGACTCGCACTGAAGTGCGCGCTGGGATGTGCCGAGCGGTCAGCGCCACCGCGTTCGCGTCGGTCGCGCCAGACTAGCATGCGTCTGCGCGCGCGAGCATCCTCGGGTCATTGCGGCCGCAGAATGCACCAGCCAACACCAAGCACTCATCACAATCGCTTCCGCATGGGTTTTGCAAGCCAGTTTGCGGGAGGGTCGGTGGGATGATTGCGCGAGCAGTGGAGTCGACAAGTTCAAGTTCGGCGAAGTGATTTGCACCACGTAGATGGTTCCTTTCCTAAAGAAGAATAGATTCTACCCCTTTGGCATGAACGATCCACCTCTTCGTATGGCAATGCGCATACGATTCTGCCCCATCGTCCATCCAAAATATGAACTCGTAGTATCCCAGCCAGACCTGTTTCGCTCCCCCCCGCCATCCTCTGCAACAAATACTATGCGCGCGCGGTCGTTTATCAGAAATCATAAATTCCCAAGAACCCTTTGCAAAAAAGGGCGAATTGCTCACGCGCGCGTCGTCGCGCGCTCATGCCGGAATCCTTCAAAAACCCTAGTTTTCGGAAGGGTTCCAAAATCGAGTTCCCAAAAAACATCCGAACACACACACAGGGTTACGCAACACGGATATTCTGACAAAGCTTACGCGCGCGACCTTGCGAAAGCTTTAAAACAACCATGCGTTTTTCAAAATTTTCAAGAAGTGCTACCAAACGGGCTTCGCGCGCGCATGTCGAAATCTTTCGAACGCCCTTTGCGCGCGTGCCGTCGCGAGAATCCTCTGGGGAAACAATTGACGAAGTGCAGACGCGCGCGTCGTCGCGGGCGCATGCCGAAATCCTTCGAACAGAACTCTTGATTTCGGAAGGATTTCAAAATCGTGCGTTTCAAAAACATACAGAAACACAAGGTTTTGCAACACGGGTTTTCAACGAAAGCGTGCGCGTGCGCTTTTGCGTCGTCGTCGTCGTCGCCGTCCTTGTTCCTCCTTTGTTGTTGTTGTCGCCGCCGTCGTCGTCCTTTGTCTTTTCTCGTCGTCGTCGTCGTATTGGCGTCGTCGTCGTTCCCGTCGTCGTTGTCGCCGTGGTCGTCCTTCCTCTTCCCTCGACGTCGTCGTCCGTCGTCGGCGTCGTGTCGTCGTCCCTCCTATTTCGTTGCCGTCGTCGTCGTCTTCCCTCTTCCCTCGTCGTTGTCGTCGTCGGCGTCGCCGTCCTGCCTCCTTCTTCGTCGTTCGCGTCGTCGCCTTCCTCCCCCCTCCCTCGTCGTTGTCGTCTTTGTCGCCGTCGTCGTCCTCCCTCCTCCCTCGTCGCCGTCGTCTTCGTTGGCGTCGTCGTCGTCGTCGTCTTCGGCGTCGTCGTCGTCATCGGCGTCGTCGTCGTCGGCGTCGACGGCGTTGGCATCGTCGTCGTCGGCGTCGTCTTCGTCGTCGGTGTCGTCGTCGTTGTCGTCGTCGTCGCCGTCGTCGTCGTCGAAGTCGTTGGAGACGTCGTCGGTGTCGTCCTAGTCGGTGTCGGCGGCGTCGTCGTCGTCGTTGTCGCTGTCGTCGTCGGCGTCGGTGTCGCTGCCAAGTTCCATGTGGTACCTACCGTCACGGTCTTAAGATGTCTTGCGACCAAGTTGCGGGTGCGAGGGTGGGATGTTTGCACGAGCAGTGGAGAGGACAGCTTCAAGATAGTCAAAGTGAATTGCACCACCTAGATTGTACGACGTAGATTGCACAATAGATTGTGTTCCACGTCGATTGCACAACATAGACGGCCTGAAACAGATTGTTTGGGCGTCCAGGCTGGCGAACACCTTGCCGAATCTCGCCCAGTCACCAGTCCCGCGCACTCCCGGCTTCAATTCCGCCTAATCCGGCTCAGAGGCATTTTACTCGGGCGTGATAACCCGCAGTCGTTCTTAAAAAAATGTTCCCAGGGAGTGGCCTCCCGGGGAGCGGTGCGCCGCGGAGGGGGCGGCCCCGCGGGCGGGCCTCTCGACGGCGGCGCCTCGCCGAGGTTCGGCGCCGAGCTGGCTGCCGAGCGGGCCCAGCGCGCGGGGTGGACCGAGCTCGCGGACGACGCCGCCCGGCGACGACGCCGACGGCGAAGATGAAGACGGCGGCGAGGGCGACGGCGGCAGCGTCGGCGACGAAAACGAAGATTCTCACAAGGAAAGGGTGCCGATCGAAACTGCTACGCTTCCCTCGTTCCCGCCTTTTTGGGCCGTCTCGCCTTGTCAGCTCTTCCATGACTAAATTCGCTTCGCAGTTCTGATCAGAGCACCCCTCGGGAGAGGTCCGGGGAGTAACGGTATCGCTACCTTCTTTTCAGCAGGGAACAAAACAAACAGACACAATTAATCGTCGATCCCCAAGAGAATATGGGAAAATATTGGAATTGGGCGGGAAGACAAAAACCCAGGAAATATTGGAAAACATGGGGAACACGTTTATGTGTGTGTATTTATTTGTGTGTCTTTGGGCCCCTTCATCGTTGTCCCCCCAGACGATGGCGACGGCGACGGCGACGATCGCTGTGGCGGCGGGGGCGACGACAGCGACAGTGACGACGGCGGGGGAAGCGACAGCGGCGGCGGCGGCGGCGGCGGCAGCGGCAGCGGCGGCAACGGCGGCGGCGACGGGAGGCCGCGTGCGCGGGTTGGGCCGTGGCTCGCAGAGGCGCCGCGTGGCGTATGGGGAGAGGGCGGAGGAGGAGGAGGAGGACGACGAGGAGGACGAGGAGGACGAGGAGGAGGACGAGGGGGACGAGGAGGAGGAGAGGGAGGAGGAGAGGGATGATGATGATGCTGCTGATGATGATGATGATGATGATGATGATGATGATGATGATGATGATGATCATGATCATGATCATGATGATCATGATGATCATGGTGATGATGAGGAGGAGGATGGTGATGATGATGAGGAGGAGGAGGAGGAGGAAAAGGAGGAGGAAAAGAAGGAGGAGGAGGAGGGGGAGGAGGAGGGGGAGGAGGAGGAGGAGGAGGAGGAGGAGGAGGCGGAGGAGGCGGAGGAGGGGGAGACTTGAAATCCCCAGTGCGTTTTTCGCGCAGTCGGCCACTTCACCACACGGTGTCTACATCTTGGAGAGGGGCGTGGGCCCCAAGACTTCAGCCATACGGCGTCGACACAGCCGGCACGTACGCTGAACAGGCCGCGCGCGGGTGCGCGCGCACGTGTTCACGCGTTCGTTGTGTGAGCGCACGCGTTTTTCAGGCTGTTTGCCGTCCGCGGTATCATGCTCAGGAGATTTGGCGTGGCGCATCGTGCCGCCGGTTCTGGCTCACTGCGCTCCGGCGCGACACGCTGACCACATCCCATTCCCGAGCATTTCCCAGCTTCCCGGCCCGCGGGGCAGAACGACATGCTGTCCGCGTGCAGGGCATGGCGTTTCGCCGGGGCCGCCGCCGCGACACGCTGACCAAAAATTGTTGACCACATGTGAACGCGCGTACTTTTGTGTAAAGACTTTGTGTAACCGCCCGTATTGGTCGGCCACGCGCAGAGGGGGTGGCAGGGGGAGCGGGGAGGGTTCGCGGGCGGGCCGTGTCCATAAATGTAGGGCCAGCGCTCTTCTAAGAAGCAGCCCCCTTCGAAGAATCCTTTCCCCCCTCCCCATTCCCCCCTTGTGCGCGCCGCCGCGTACCCAGACGGCTGGCTGCTCCCATTTTCCCTATGCGTGGGCCCCGGAGGCCTGGACCACTTCCCCGGGGCCGGTTTTTCTCGCCCCGCCTAGTCTTTTGATGGTCTCGCGAGGCCCGGCGAGGGCCCCAGGAGGCCGCAATCGGTCCAACTCCGCCCGCTCCAACTTCTGTTTTGAGAGCTCAGAGGCGACGATAGGGGCGAATAGCCCAGGGGAGAGCAATACACGTATTCAGGTGCGCCGATGATCTATGTCCTCGAAAATGCTCCCGGGCGAATACCCGTCTGTCGTTGATAGTACGTATTTTTGGACAGATCCCAATGTACTTCAAGCGCCTTCCCGCTTCAAGGATCCATATGCTTTTGCTGTGTGTTGTTCTTCTCTTCTCCGGAGGGCCTGAACCCAACCTGCTCTATCCGCGTTCCCACTGCATGTCTTTACCTGCTTCTTCCGGCCGACGTGTACGTGTGATGCCCGCCCCTGGGCTGTTCGCCCCCATCGTCGCCGCCGCAGAGCGCCGCACCTCTGGGCATGGGGAGGCGGCGCGAGCGGGGCCCCGCTGCCTCTCTCCGAGGAGAGCACGCAGCGCCGGGCGGCGTGCCTCGTGGAGGAGGCCCAGGAGCGGTGCCCCCCGCGCGCGTGGCGCCCCCCCCCCCCCCGGCGGGCCCGTGGGGCGCCCACGTGGGGGGCCGCCGTGGGGTCTGGGCGGGCGCGGGCGAGGAGGAGGGGGGGAGGAGGAGGAGGAGGAGGAGAGGAGGAGGAGGAGGGGAGGAGGAGGAGGAGGAGGAGGGAGGAGAGAGGCGGAGGCGGAGGAGGAGGAGGAGGAGGAGGAGGAGGGGGAGGAGGCGGAGAGGAGGAGGAGGAGAGGAGGAGGGGGAGGAGGAGGAGGGAGGAGAGGAGGCGGGGGCGGAGGAGGAGGAGGAGGAGGTGGAGGAGGAGGAGGAGGAGGAGGAGGGGAGGAGGAGGAGGAGGTGGAGGAGGAGGAGGAGGAGAGGAGTGTTGTTTGTTGTTGTTGTTGTGTTGTGTTGTTGCGCTGCTGCTGCTGCTGCTGCTGCTGCTGCTGCTGCTGCTGCTGTTGAACATTATTAATTCTAAAGAATAATTATTGTTGGGCCCCTGGTGCACGGCCCCCCTGCGCCGCCTAGGCCGCAGCTACATTTTCATCATTTTCGTGAGGAAGCCTCAGGTAATACGATGTCATCAAGATCCGGTTGTTTTGTTGTAATCCGTTTTCCCTTGCAAAAAACACTATAACATGACATTTCTTGTTCTAATATAATCAAATTTCAAGAATCCCTTGCAAAAAATAAGGTAAAGTGGACATTCGCGCGCGCAAGACGAAATCCTTCCAAAAGCTTAGTGTTCGGAGCGATTTTAACATAAAAACATCAAAAAACCAATGGTTTTTCAACAAAAAAATGTCAAAATCTCATCCCGCGCGCTCTTGCGGATTCGTAGGAAACCCAACACTTTTTAAACATTTCTGTCAAACGGGCTTTTGCGAGCAACTTTTTCGAACTTCTGCGACAACGGTTGCGCACCTGCCAGGGCCATCATCCCTGTCAAATAATACCATGCGGGACACATTCGTTTTTTCTTCGCGCGCGCACGCCGTCGTCGTCGGCCGCGGGGCCCTGAATAGTAGCCACGGTCGTCCGCATGCCACGAAGTGAAGTGTCCGAACGTCATAGGGCGGGAAGCTGGGTGTGGGTGGTGGCGAAGAGTCGTTTGGAAATTTGGTAGAGCTTGAACCGGCCCCCCCACAAAGTGGGGGTATTGCCCGCCTCCTATGAAAACCCTGGCACTGGTGAGAACGGAGTGTCCCCACGTGCTAGTAATTGTTGTTGTTGTTGTTGTTGTTGTTGTTGTTGTTGTTGTTGTTGAACATTATTACTTCTAAAGAATAATTATTGTTGGGGCCCCTGGTGCACGACCCCCCCGCCGCGCCTAGGCCGCAGCCACGTTTTCATCATTTTCGTGAGGAAGTCTCAGGCAAAACGGGTTGGTCCGGATCCGGTTGTTTTGTTACGGGCGGTTTTCCCTTGCAAAAAATAAGCTAAAGTGGACATTTTTTGTTCTAACATAACCAAACTTCAATAATCCCTTGCAAAAAAACAAGGTAAAGTGGACATTCGCGCGCGCAAGACGAAATCCTTCCAAAACCTTTGTTTTCGTAACGATTTTTACATAGAAACATCAAAAAAACAATGTTTTTTCAAAAAAAATGTCAAAATTTCATCCCGCGCGCTCTTGCGGATTCGTAGGAAACCGAACACTTTTTCAACATTTCCGTCAAACGGGCTTTTGCGAGCAACTTTTTCAAACTTCTGTAACAACGGTTGCGCACCTGCCAGGGCCATCATCCCTGTCAAATAATACCATGCGGGACACATTCGTTTTTTCTTCGCGCGCGCACGCCGTCGTCGTCGGCCGCGGGGCCCTGAATAGTAGCCACGGTCGTCCGCATGCCACGAAGTGAAGTGTCCGAACGTCATAGGGCGGGAAGCTGGGTGTGGGTGGTGGCGAAGAGTCGTTTGGAAATTTGGTAGAGCTTGAACCGGCCCCCCCACAAAGTGGGGGTATTGCCCGCCTCCTATGAAAACCCTGGCACTGGTGAGAACGGAGTGTCCCCACGTGCTAGTAATTGTTGTTGTTGTTGTTGTTGTTGTTGTTGTTGTTGCTGCTGCTGCTGCTGCTGCTGCTGTTGTTGTTGTTGTTGTTGTTGTTGTTGTTGTTGCTTGTTATTGTTGTTGTTGTTGCTGTTGTTGCTTGTTGTTTGTTGTTTGTTGTTTGTTGTTAATTGATTGTTGTTTCTTGAGTATTATTTATCGTTCCTCGTTTCTTGTTTATTGTGTATTGGTTGTTGTTTGTTGTTTGTTGTTTGTTGCTTGTTGATTGCTGTTTGTTGCTTATTGTTTGTTGTTGTCGTCGTCCCACCCGCGATCCGCCCCGCGACCCACCTGCGACCCACCCCGCGACCCACCCGCGACCCACCCGCGACCCACCTCGCGACCCACCCGCGACCCACCCGCGACCCACCCCGCGACCCACCCCGCGACCCGCCCGCAAGCCACCCCGAGATCCCCCCGGCGACCCACCCGCGACCCACCGGTGACCCACCCGCGGCCCACCCGCGACCCACCACGCGACCCATCCGCGACCCACCCGCGCCCGCGACCCACCGCGACGCACCCGAGACCCACCCGCGACCCACCCCGCGACCCTCCCAAAATTTTCGGCGCCGGTTTCTTTTGCATTCGTTCCAGGTGGAGAACCTAACCTGCGAGCCACCCGCGACCCAAACCGCGCCCGCGACCCACCCTCGACCCACCCGCGACCCACCCGCGACCCACCCGCGACCCACCCCGACCCACCCCGCGACCCCCCGAGCCACCCGAGATCCCCCCGGCGACCCACCCGCCCCACCGGTGACCCACCCGCGCCCCACCGCGACCCACCCGCGACCCAACCCGCGACCCACCCGCGCCCGCGACCCACGCGACGCACCCGAGACCCACCCGCGACCCACCCCGCGACCCTCCCAAAATTTTCGGCGCCGGTTTCTTTTGCATTCGTTCCAGGTGGAGAACCTAACCTGCGAGCCACCCGCGACCCAAACCGCGCCCGCGACCCACCCTCGACCCACCCGCGACCCACCCGCGACCCACGCCGCGACCCACCTAAAATTTTCGGCGCCTGCGGCGGGCGTCTTTTGCATTCGTTCCAGGTGGAGAACCTGCGACCCACCCGCGACCCAAACCGCGTTCAGTGTACAAATCAAAATTTCCAGCGCCTGCGGCGGGCTGTTTTTGATTTCCGTCCAGGTGGAGGTGGAGAGCCGCGACCCACCCGCGACCCAAATTACGTTCACTGAACAAGCTAAAAATGCGGCGCCTGCGGCGGGCTGTTTTTGCATCCTTTCCGGGTGGCCCACCAGCGATCGCCCCGGCGCTGAATTTGTCAGGGCACGCAAATCGGCGTCTGCGGCGGGCTTGCTCGCACTGGTTTGGGAAAGCGCCCTCGTGCCATTCCCCCGATCCGGCCCACGTTGACTCTACAAGAGCACATCGGCGCCTGCGGCGGGGCTGTGTCTGAACACGTTCATTGACAACCCAGTTTCCGGCTGCAATTCGGCATCCGTGCCCAAAGCTTGGGTTCAGGGGAAGCTGCCTCAAGGCGCCCACAATTAAGGGGCCTCGGGGCGCTCAAGGACCCTCCTGAGGGGGGCGTCCACGAACCCTACCACACAGGACGCGGACGAGGAAGAGGAAGAGGAGGAGGAGCAGAAGCAGGAGGAGGAGGAGGAGGAGGAGGAGGAGGAGGAGGAGGGCGCCATCGACAGGGAATGTGAGGGCCACGAGGTCCGCCGGCTCGACGCCCGCGTCGCCCGCGCCCGCCCCCTCACTCTTATCCGCAATTGCGGGGTGCTACGAATATACATGTATAGATATATGGCCAGCGCTTTCTAAGAGGCAGCCTCCTTCTAAGAGGCCTTCCCCTTCACACTACCCCCTTGTGCGCGCCGCCGATATACGGCAAAAGGGCGTCGGGGGTTGCTAAAGGCTCCCCTGGCCCAAGGTGCCTCCCGTTTTTCCTTTAGTTTTGGCCATCTGGAGCCAGGGGCATTTCTGGCAACACCTGAGAGAGGGGGGGGGGCTTGGAGGGGGAGCAGGACGAGGAGGGAGGCAGGGAAGGAGGGAGGGGGTTAGATGAGGAAGAGGGCGCCACAACACAGCATCACTTGAGTCTCCAACCCCTTGACAGCCTGTCGAGATGCTGCTTCCGAAAACACGGCTTGGCACGGCATTGTGCAGAAGGGAGGGGGGAGGCGAGGAGCGGGAGTGGGATAGGGAGGGAGGGAGCGAGGGGGTGTTAGAGGTGGAAGAGAGACGACGACGACGACGACGACGACGACGACGACGACGACGACGACGACGAAGACGACGACGACGACGAAGACGACGACGACGACGACGACGACGACGACGACGACCACGACCACGACCAGGACCAGGACCACGACGACGACGACGACGACGACGACGACGACGACGACGACGACGACGACGACGACGACGACGACGGCGGCGCTGTACCGTCCGCTGCTGGTCGCCGTGTTTGAGTCCCGCCCCGGAAGCACTCGCAGCCTCCCTGAAGTCGGGCATGTCTATCTACAGGAGGAATGCCCCAAAACAGTTCCAAACATACGGTGGGGGCGTTGTTTAAGGAATGCGCCCAGGATGCTGCAGACCCTGGGGGATTCCTTATCTAATGAGGGCGGCGGTGATATCCATGGCCAAGCCTCGATTGGAGCTCCACTGGCCCAACCAGACCTTGGATTCCTTATCGAAGGGTTCCTTCTTCACTGCCCCTCACCGTAGTCTGGTACTGATGTTTCGACTGTGTCTGGTTACCCTGAGAAATATGTTCTGGCTATTTGTTGTGCTTCCTTCAGACCCCAAAGCTCGACACAAAGCTCCCCCCGCAGGAGATGACGCTCGCGACGCAGCGGCACGCGGCCGAGGAGGCTCGCTCCGCGGCGCGCCACCTGCAGGAGAGCCCTGCCACACCCTCCTCGTCGCCGACTTTCGGGACTCGAGAGTAGGAGGGGGAGGAGTAGGAGGAGGAGGAGGAGGAGGAGGAGGAGGAGGAGAAGGAGTCCCTGATATTCGACGAAGAAAACACGCCATAGACATAAGCTTGTTGCGCTCCGCGCGGATTTCTTGGATCTGCGCTGGCGCCCCGGCGGCGTCTCCGGCGCCGCCCCTGGCGCAGATCCAACAAGTTCGCGCGGAGCGCCACAAGCTCATTCCCGGACAGCTCGCGGAGAGCTAAGAGGGTTTCAGATTAAGAGGCCGGAGCCGCAGGGTAGCCCTGGAGGTCGTTCCGGCGTCGGCCCAGGTTCCCCGCAGCGCCCGTGTTTGAGCCGGAGACGGGTCCCGAAAGGCCTTTTCCAAGCGTTTCCCAGTACGCGTGCCTGGAAGCTCTCCAGAAGGTCCTCCGGAAGCACTCTCCATGTCCTTCCAGAGCTCTTAGCCAGTCCTTTCCACGTCTCCGGGCGCCTTGCTACCCGGGTTTTTGGACCCCACAAGTGTGTATGCCGTTTCTTCTTCTTCTTCTTCTAGATCTCTTGGCGTGCCATTTTTTTCACGACGGGCGTTCTCGCGAATTCTCGGGCTTGAAAAATGACTCGGGGAGCTAGGATCCATGGTTCCAGGCGTGATTGTTGACTAAGTTGATTTTTTTCGCAACGTCGGATCTCAGGGGACGGGAGTCAATGCAAACGGGGTCAGGAAGAGCGCCGACTCTTGCAGGATCCCACAGAACCAGGGCTGCACTGACCCAGGCTTGCGCGCAGGATCCTGCAGGATCCTGCAGGATCTAGGATCCTGCGCCTGACTGTCCCTGGTTTGCCTGGACACGGATCAGCAAATCCCCGAGCCGTCGTCGTCGGCGCCGCACCCGCCTACCGAGCGCCTTTCGCTGCTCGCAGAGTGCCCACTCGCAGGCGTCCGAGAGAAGCACATGATTGCCTCGGTGTAATGGATCGTGAGTCTCCCGCGGCGGGTCCCGGCCGTTCGCGAGCTGTTACTTTGCGAGTAGCCGAACGCGCCTGACCTTTCCCAGACCCCAGACGTATTGAGAGATTGAATGCGGAGGTTGTTCGTCGTGTTCGGCCTCTTCGGGCCCCCGCCTGGCCCCAGGACCGCCAACAAAAAGCGACTCGGGACACAGCGCTGGCCCTGGCGAAAGGTTCGGCACTTCCACGGCTCAGTATAAAAAAGCAACTGTACAATCCACCTGCATAGTACAATTCTCCCCAGGGTACTCTTGCATCCTCGCCTCCTCGCTCCATCCTCGCCGCTGTCGTTGGCCGCGCCCCGCTCGAAAAGCCTCGAGACGGCCTTCCAAGGCCCTTGCACCCTTATCGCGCATCCTTCTGACACGGGCCGACTGTACGTCGGATCTCTGGGCTCTCCCTCCTCCTCCGATCGAGCCTCGACGATCGAGGCCTCACGGATCGAGTCTAGCGGGTCGGAGTTCCAGGGCCCGAGTCTCGAAGACCCGGGTGCCAGGGATCGAGCCTCGAGGACGGAGATTCCAAAGACGACGGTGCGAGGATCGGGGCTCCAGGGCATCGGGGTCCCGAGGATCCGGGCTCCAGGGGTCGAGGTGGGAGGACCGGGGCTCCAGGCCCAGAGATCCAATGTCGAGATTTTTTCCATACGGGGTCCCTGAGAGTCTCGACCCCTTCCCCAGGACCAGCTTTTCATCCTGAGTCGTTGTTTGACGGTCCCGAGACCCAGTAAAGGCCACCCGAGGACGAAAATTGCGAACGACTTCCGTCATGCTTTTTTCGATACGTTGGATCTCTGGGTCGCTCCCTTTGGCCTTGAGGGGCAGCAGCCTTCTGCCCTGTACCTCCGCCTCCGCCTCCTCCGCCTCCTCCTTCCCCTGTTTCTTCCTCCCCCCCCCTCCCCCTCCTCCCTCCTCCTCCTCCTCCTCCTCCTCCTCCTCCTCCTCCTCCTCCTCCTCCTCCTCCTCCTCCTCCTCCTCCTCCTCCCCCTCATCCTCCTCATACGTTGGATTTCCGGGGGGGCTCCAGGAATTGAGGTGCCGGGGGACCACGGCTTCGCGAGGCCCCCCCACTGGGCCTGCGGAGGCCTTTGGAGAGGCGCCCTGTGGACCTCCTCGGGCGGGCCAGGGATCGTCCCAGCGCGCTCCAGAACGCCCTCAGCTGAGACCCCCCTCCTCCTCCTCCCTCCCTCCTCCTCCTCCTTCCTCCTCCTCCTCCTCCTCACCTCCTCCTCCTCCTCCTCCTCCTCCTCCTCCTCACGCACGCCCGCCCGCCCGCCCGCCCGCCGGCCCGCCCGCCGCGCGCGCGCACACACACAAACACACACACACACACACACAACACACACACACACACACACACACACACACACACACACACACACACACACACACACCACACACACACACACACACACACACACACCACACACACCCACACCCACACCCACACCCACACCCACACCCACACCCACACCCACACCCACACCCACACCCACACCCACACCCACACCCACACCCACACCCACACCCACACCCACACCACACCCACACCCACACCCACACCCACACCCACACCCACACCCACACCCACACCCACACCCACACCCACACCCACACCCACACCCGCACCCACACCCACACGCACACCCACACCCACACCCACACCCACACCCACACCCACACCCACACCCACACCCGCACCCACACCCGCACCCGCACACGCACACGCACACGCACACGCGCACGCACACGCACACGCACACGCACACGCACACGCACACGCACACGCACACGCACACGCACACGCACCGCACGCACCGCACGCACGCACGCGCGCACGCACGCACGCACGCGCACGCACGCGCACGCACACGCACGCGCACGCGCACGCGCACGCGCACGCGCACGCGCACGCGCACGCGCACGCGCACGCGCAACGCACAGGCACAGGCACAGGCACAGGCACAGGCACAGGCACAGGCACAGGCACAGGCACAGGCACAGGCACAGGCACAGGTTCAGGCGCAGGCACAGGCACACACACACACCCACACACACACGCACGCACGCACGCACGCACGCACGCACGCGCACACACACACACACACACATACACACATACACACACATACACACATACACACACACTCACACACACACACCAGTTGCCTTCGCCACTGGGGGGCGGCGGACCAGACCCGGTAGCTGCGACATCGGGAGGGAGGCGTACAGCGAAGGAAGACAGACCCTCCGGGTGGAGGGGATGGTGGGTCCCCCAGCGACCCCTGGAGGGGGGCGGGAGAGCGACGAAACGGCGACGACAGAAAGCGTTGGCCCGCGGCTTCCGAAGCTCACAGGAAACGAAGAGGAGGAGCGGAGGAGGAAGGCGGCAGCTGCGGCGGCGGGCTGCGGGTGCCAGGGTGGCGTGTGGCTCGAAGGTGGAGAGGGAACAGGAGGAGGAGGAGGAGGAGGAGGAGGAGGAGGAGGAGGAGGAGGAGGGAGGGAGGAGGAGGCGGAGGAGGAGGAGGAAGACGACCAGTGCAAACTCAAGAGTCACCAATGATGTTGGAATAAACCCTCCCCCAAGCATCCTCTTCATAGACCCCTACAGCAGTTCATTTCCACAGAGGGGCCTGCCTCGTTGGAAGACAGCCATTTGAAGACCCCGAAACATGCCACAACATTATTCTCGGTATTCCAACGCCACGGATGAACCTTGCTATTGCGTCTTGACGATCCAGAATCGTGCCAGAACTCCATTCCCTGGACCTCAACTCCGCGAATCATCGTAACTGTTGCGCCTCAAAATCGTAATTCCTTCCGGCGCACCATTTCTGGTACGCCGAGCATGGAAAGATGTCAAATTCATTGCGATGGTTTAATAAGATTTCGCGCGGCGCTCAGGCGAGGGCAACATTTTGGAAAGGAGCCGCCCTCAACCCCTGAAGCTCTTGCAATTTTGTTTAACGAATGCGCGCGGTGCCTCGGCGAGAACCACATTTTGAAAAGGAGCCGCCCTCATCTTGTGAAGTTCTTGCAAATTTTATAACGAACGTGCGCGGCTTTCAGGCGAGGGCCACATGTTGAAAACGACCCGCATTGAATCCGTGAAACGTTTTGCAAATTTTGAAAATGAATGTGCGCGGCGCTAAGGCGAGAACCACATTTTGAAAACCACCCGCCCTCAATCCGCGAAACTCGCGCAAGTTTAAAAAACGAATGTGCGCGGCGCTAGGGCGAGAGCCACATTTTGAAAACCGCCCACCTTCAATCCGTGAAACGCGTGCAGTGTTTGAAAAAGAATGCGCGCGGCGCTAACGACCCGCCCTCCCTCTGTGAAATTGCTGCCAATGTTTAAGCTTCAGGATCATAAATGGTGAAGAAGTCTCAGGCGAAACGCCCGGCCCGCCCTACCAACTCGCCTCGGGATGCGACAGAGAGAATTTTCTTAATAAGGGGAAGAAAGGGAGGAGGAGGAGGAGGAGGAGGAGGAGGAAAAGGAAGAGGAAGAGGAGGAGGAGAAGGAGGACGGGAAGGAGGAGGACGGGGAGGAGGAGGAGGAGGAGGAGGAGGAGGAGGAGGCGGACGACGACGACGACGAGAAACATTGTGGCGGGTGAAAAAAAAAAAAACGGTGGCGGTTGAGGTGCGGGCAGGCGGCGGCTGTAGGCGGCCGAGAGTGTTCCCCCCTCCCTGCCCTCCTATCCTCCTCCCTCCTCGTGCTGTTCCTCCTTCTCCTCTGGCGCCTCCTCCTCCTCCTCCTCCTCCTCCTCCTCCACCCCCTCCTTCTCCGCCTTCTCCCCCTCCTCCTTGTTTTGATCGCCCATTGTTTTGAGACCTCCCATCCCCCTGGGTCAAGTTGTCAGGGAACTGAAGGAGCAGCCAGAGCCAAGCGACCTCACTTGAATGTACAGCCGTGCTGGCCTGTGGTATGGCAGCGCCTGCGCCGTGCTGCAGGTGGGGCCCGAACCGCCCCCCCACAAACTTTTCAGTCAGAGCGCTGGTCCATCCACAAGGGCTGAGGAAATAAAGGGGGGTGGGGCGGGAGGTGAGATTAAGCTGGGCGAGCGGACGCGGTTTGCCGCTGCGAAGGAATCGTAGTGCCACCCACCCATGCCAGTAGGAAAGTAGACCTCCCAAGCCGAGCACCGAGGTGAAACGATTATGCTGGATTGAGGTTATCGATTGCTATCCCATTGCCGTTCGCGTCGAAATGCCTGCGGTCTCTGCACCCATGGTCCACCCCACCCGCCCATGCTGGAAATGCGTCGGAGAAACTGCCGGTGGCCTTGGCCGGCTGGTAGTAGCTCTGTAGAGCAGGCTTGGGAAGGTGACGCACGTGTGCGGATCTGTTCGCCAGACAGCGTCCGTACTTGGGTTCGGGAGGCGGTGCGTTCGCCTCGCTGCCGTTGGAGATGCGGGGCGGAGTAGTGAATGCGGTGGCGCCGCGACAAGCTGGCCCGTGCCACGGGCCTCCCGCGCTGCACAGGTGAGGTTCAGGAGGGAAAACAACACACAGACACAATTAATCGTCGATTCCCCAGATCATATGGGAATATATGGGAAGTGGGGGGACGACAAAAACCAGAAAATATAGAAAAATATGGGGAATATTTTTATTTGTGTGTATTTGATTGTGTGTCCCGCCGCCGGGACTTCGCCCCCCGCTCCTGTCCATGGCGTACCTTGTCCTGTGCAAGATCTTCGGCACCGCCTGTACTCTGCACCCTCCGGCCGCCTGAGGCCCCGCCCGCCCGCGCCCCGTCTCCCCAATTAGGGCTTCGCGCGCCCCGCCTAGCTCTTTACCGGAAGGGGCCCGCTCCCGACCAAAAAAAGTTTGTGTGTCCCAGGGCTCCTCCAGAGGTGGAGTCGCAGGAGGCCGACGCCACCTATGGTGGTGGGGAGAGGCGGGATGCTCTCCCAAAGCATGTGCAGCTTCCCTCCTCCGCACCCTCGACCCTCAGCCATGTATCCTCCTTGGGTCCCCTTCTCGCTCGCCTCCTCGCTCCTCCTCCTCCTCGCTCCTCCTCCTCCTCCTCCTCCTCCTCCTCCTCCTCCTCCTCCTCGCTCCTCCTCCTCCTCCTCCTCCTCCACCGCCTTCTCCTCCTCGTCCTTGTGGGCGCTCGGCCAGGGCAACCGCGCTCGGCCAGGGGAACCGCAGAGCTGCTTCAGAGTCCGAGGGACACTTGAGCTCAGGAGAGACTTGTTGGGTAGACGTTCGACCTCCTCCTCCTGGTCCTTCTCTGGGGCTCCAGGGGGATGGACGTGCGTGGCCCTTCTAGGACCTCCGGGTGGCCACCGAAGGCCCAGGAGATGAGGCCCTCGCTTTTCTTCGTTGCCGTCTCGTCCCACGGCTACGACCCCCCCTGAGAGGTTGTCTTGGGACATGTTTTCGTTGGGGTTTCAAGGCAGACCCAGTCGATGCCAAGAGAAAGCGGCGCCCCAGAATGCCAACAGGATGATGATGATGATGATGATGATGATGATGCTGTTGATGATGGTTATGATGATGCTGCGGATGATGATGGTGATGGTGGTGGTGGTGAGGTGATGATCGAGGTGATGGTGATGGTGATGATGCTGCTGATGATGATGATGGTTTTGATGCTTTTGATGATGATAATGATGCTGCTGCTGATGATGATATTGTTGCTGCTGCTGATGGCGATGATGACGATACTGATGCTGATGCTGATGATGAGGAGGAGGAGGATAATGGGGGAGGAGTGCGAATAAGTCCAACATTTTCATCTTGGTCGTCCTTCTTCACCTCGTCCGTCTCCGCTCCACCCTTCCGCGGCATGAAGGAGCCCACGACACCGCATTTGATGCTCAATTCCTTCGGCGTCTTCTGCGCAGGGTGAATTTGCGAGGGGCCTGGAGGCCCAACCAAGGCGCCCGACTTGTTTCCAGGCGTCCTCGTCGGCGTTTCGTTGAACCGTCGCCTCGTCCGTCTGCTCCAGCCCCCCCGCCGCCTCAGGAGCTCCAGCAGGCGCTGCAGTACAGCCAGGACCTTGGCTTGGCGTTTCTTTACTGCGCGCGCCCTTGGGTTCGCCCCTCCCCCCCCGACCCCCCAGAGAGAGAGGATGAGATATGGGAGGAGGAGCTTGAGGTTTCCGATCTGTGTTCGGAGAAAGAGGTCAAGGTGGCGGAGGAATACGAAGGAGGAGGAGGAAAAAGAGGAGGACGAGGAGGTCCTCCTCCGCCTCCTCCCCCTGCTCCTCATCATCCTCCCCTTCTCCTTCTCCTCACTCCCCCTTCGGAAGCATCGACCGCAGCCACCAACTCGACGGGAGGTGATCCTCGGATGCCCACGCCGCGCGAGATCCCGCACAGCGAGGCGACAGGGCAGAAGGCAATCGAGTGCGCATGGAACTCGCAAACATGGGGCTCCAGCTCGTGTCGAGCCAGAGACGTGGCGTCGGCGGCTGATTCATTAGCACGGACATGCAATAACACTCGCACACGCGTCCCCTGGTGCGCATTCAGCTGCGCGCTCACTCGACACCGGCAGCCCACGACCGGTGCCGATCTTTCTGAATCATGCGCTCGTGCGCACTCCAGACAAACACCATGACATCGCAATCGCCACCGCGTGGGTTTTGCTATCCAAGTTTGGGGTAAACGGGTGGAATGATTGCACGAGCACGGGAAGTGGTCACGCGCGGTGCAAGGTTGTCAATTGGTTCGCATAGGTTCTCGTAAAAAAATAGGTTCTACCAGCCTCCCCCCGGACTTACCGACTCACCGGGGACCCTTGCAAAACACATATGATTCCGACCCAATGTCCATCCTACTTGTGATTCATACTATCCCAGCCAGGCCGGTATCACCCCCCCCCCGTCGGTTCCCTTGCAAAACTTACAATGCGCGCGCACTCGTTCATCAGAAATTAGACCGGACCCGCGTCACGAACTGGGAGTCTATGGCCTTTTCACAAGCCCCCACCCTTGACGGACTTTCTGCCCGCGCGTCTGACGAAGGACTTTGTCGCCAGGGCAGAGTTCGAGAGCAAATCAGACGCCGCGTCTGCCAGACTGCTCGAGCGGAGAGGCACTTATCCTGAAGCGCTGCTGGCTGAGCACGAGCAGCACTTACGGACCACCACGCTCGCAAAGGAAGGGCGCAAACCTAATGGCGCTGAGCTGGCAGATCTGCGGGCGATGCTGTCCGCGGTTGGCGCGGCGCCTATCGGCGCCAGCGTCTCCCAGTACTGCTAGGAGCAATCGGGCCGCAAAGCCACCGGCCAGTGGAGCCTCGTGGCCTCGTTCCGCGCACAGAAACCGAAGAAGAGTAACCCGGGCCAGGCTTGGCCAGCCCGCGGGAAAAGCGGCTCCGGCGGCAAGGCGTCGTCGACGCAGACGGGTACTCCGGGGCCCGCGGCTTCGGAGGCGGAGGCCGCGGCTGAGGCCTCTGCGGCGGCGACCATGATGGACGTGGGCTTCAACGAGGCTTACATCGCCCATGCGTTGGAGCAGACGTCGTTCCAGTTCTGGCAAGCGTTGGTGCTCCTGCTGAACGGCCCGGACGCACTCGATAGGTTCTGCCGCCATTTTGCCGAGACGGTCCGGAGTCTGGACTGCGAAGTGTTGGGGGGGTGGCGAAGTCCTGACCCAGTATTCGCAGCGCGCGCAATGAGTCGCAATTCGACGCGCAGGTCTGGGACCTGGGGCAATATGGGGGCCGAACCACGGGCGCGTGCTTCTGGCTATGCCCCGCAGCAGGCCTGGCCGATCGCGGGCTGGATGTTTTGGCCCGGGCCGTGCCAGGCAACGCTCCAGCCCATCGAGCGGCAGGCCAACTGACAGCGCAGGGCGCGCGGCGGTGCGTCGATGCTGGCGCGCGTCACTCGCCTTTGGGCGCGGTGGCGGAAGCTCTCCGGGCCCGATTCTGCGGCGGCGAAGCTGCCGTGCTGCTCAGAGCCGACATGAAGAACATAATCTACCTGTCCTTTGCTGGCCTGGATGTCTGGGGCCCCGTGCGCACCGAGGCGCCGTGCATTCGCTGGGTACAGAAGCTGGCAAGTAGAGAGTACGCGGGCGACTTGGTCGCGATGTCGGCCGCCCTGGAGTTCGGCATCCGCATCGCCGTCGCCCCTTTTCATTCTTCCGACGGCACTGGCGCAGTGGGCGGCCTCGTCTTATGGGCCAGAAAAAGGCCACCGTCGTTGTTCCCTACCTAGGCTGTGCCTGGAAGGGTTCTTACTCTCTATCTCAAAGGGGCCGGGCAGCGGGGCCCGCCCCGGGCGGTTCCCCCAGCATCCGCCCCGTGGTTCCCCCAGTTACGCCCCCTTAGTTTAGCGATGCTTATCTCATCTTAGCTTAGCTTATTTCATATTAGCTTAGCTTAGTTTAGCTTCATCTTAACCCAGGTTTATCTTAGCTTAGCCTACCTTCATCTTAGCGTCGCTGAGCTTTAGCACAGCAGAGCACAGCATAGCATAGCATAGCGTAGCATATCATAGCGCAGCACCGCATATCATAGCATAGCCCATCATAACATAGCATAGCGCAGCATAGCGTAGCACAGCATATCCTAGCGCAGCACATCACAGCACAGCATAGCACAGCGCAGCATAGCATATCATAGCATAACAGAGCATAACATAGCATAACATATCATAGCAGCAAAGCAAAGGCAAAGCAACAGCAGCGACAGCAAAGCAAAGCATGAGCATGGGTGTAATTCCCTACCTAGGTTCTGCCTAGAGGTTAGCTTAGCTTAGCTTAGCAAAGCGCAGCGCTGCAGTAGCATTTCATAGCAAGCATTACATAGCCAAGCATATCACAGTATAGCATAGCATAACGAAGCATAGCATGGCATTTAGCATAACACAGCATAGCATAGCCTATCGTAGCATAGCGCAGCGAAGCATAGCATAGCATAGCATAGCGCAGCATAGCACAGCGCATCATTACATAATACAGATTAGCATAGCATAGCATTGCTTAACATATCATATCATATCATAGCGCAGCATAGCATTTCATATCATAGCATAGCGCAGCACAGCATGGCATAGCATAGCATCGCAACGCATAGCACAGCAAGCAATGCTGCTTTCCTGGGGGCTCCAACTTCTAGGCAGGGTCGCACTGGGGTAATTCCCATGGGCAACAACGACTTGCATTATATGTATCTGTCGCGGGAATCGTAATGGCGCCAGACGCCCGCGCCAGACCTTGCCAGCGCGTCGCAGCTCAGCCTCGTCTCGCTGTTCACGGCACGCGCAGACGCTGCCCGGCGCTTCGGCAATAGGGTGCGCCAGGCTTTGCTGGCGCTTCTGCGTCGACCATTTCCGCCGCCTCCGCGTCCGTCGCCTGCGCGACGCTGCGAGGCATCCGCCGCCGGCCCGCCCCCGCCGCCATTGCGTTCCGATGCTCGACCGCGCGGCGCCGGAAAAGCAGCGAGCGCGCGCCGCCCCCGAAAGGCTCCCAAGTGGCACCCAAGCGGCGCCCAATGGCCCCAAAAGAGGCCTGCAAGACCCCCCAGGAGGTCCAGAAGACGCGCCCAAACGGCCCCCCAAGCCCTTGCCAAATGAATTGCATGAATTATTGAATCGCTTCGCTCACTCCGCCGGCCCATTTCGCATGACTGAGCCTCTTGGGGCCGCTGGTGGGCCTCTTCGGCGTCGCTTGGGGGCCCCCTGAGGGCCTCTTGGGGGCTTTTGGGGCCTCTCAGGGGCTTCTTGAGGTCCTGGGGGCTTCTTAAGGCCGAGGGCTCGAAGTTTTGTTCTGCGTTCCCCCTTTGGGGCATCGCTTGGGGCCCTCTTGGGCCCCTCTTGGGCCGTCTTGGATGCCTCTGGGGCCGTCTTGGATCCCTCTTGGGCCATTTTGGGGCCTTCTTGGGAGCTTCTTGGGCCCTCTTGGGGCGATATTGGGGGCCTCTTGGGCCGTCTTGGGGCGTCGGGAAGCCGAAGAGATGGGCGCGCCAAAATCTACCCACAACCTAAGGAAAAAAGGAATGATTTTTGCCTCTTGGGGCCCTCTGGGAAGTGCTCTTGGTGGCCTCTTGGGGCGTCTGGGGGCTTTCTTGGGCGTCTTGGAGCGATCGCGTGGCATCTCGGAGCACTCTTGAACCATCTTGGAGGGCTCTTGGCGGCCTCGTGGCCCTACTTGGGGCTCTCTGGAGGGCCGCGGGGGCGGCGCCCAGGAGGAAACCATCTCTGACCCGAGTCTGCCGGGGATCGCCCGGGGTACTTTTCGTCCGGGGGGGCCCGGGGGCCGCCCCGCGCGCGCGAAGTAGAAGTATTATTTAGCAGTTACCGGAGATCTCAGCACGCCTCTGGCCCGTTGGGCCGGCGAATTACTTCGCTGGCCCCCTGGGGGGTGGGCGATGCCAAGGCGCCCAAGAGCGAAGGGTGACGTACGCGACTCAACGCCATCCCCCCCAACCTCCATATCGCCCGCGGGCTTATCGTATCGGTATATATACATATATATATATATATACACCTATATATATGTATGTATATATATATATATATATATATGGTGCGTGCGCTTGTATGCATGTGCACGTGCTTCCCCGCGTGTCAAATCGGGCCCCAGCCCCCCCCCCCCCACCCCGCCCCACCCTGCCCGCCCGCCCGCGTCAGAACCCGCCAGGGAAAGGGGCCGGCCGAGGGGCCGAGCGACCGGAGAGCGGCGGGCGAGCCCGGGGCGACCGACGCAGCCGACGGACAAGCGAAAACAGACTGAACCAAGCAAAACCAGCCAGGGAACGAGGCCAGCCGAGGGGCAGGGCAGAGCGACCGCGGGGCGGCGAGCGAGCCCAGGGCGACCAGCGCAGCCGACGGACAAGCGAAAACAAACGAAGACAAACAAAACCAATGAGTGGGGCCAGCTGAGGGGCCGAGCGACGCGCGGGCGGCGGGCGGCCCACGGGGCGACCAGCGCAGCAGCTGGACAAGCGAAAACATACAAAACCAAACAAAACGAAGGAATGGGGCCAGCCGAGGGGCCGAGCGACCGAAGGGCGGCGGGCGAGCCTGGGGCGACCGCTGCAGCC